AAAGCAATTTCCCTACAATATACATCTATAGTCCAAACAGAAGCTGCTTTGTTAGAAGCTTCTAGAAATTCTGCAGACAGCAAAAGTTAACAGAGATCAACTGAGTTAATTATTTATGAGGTTCCCCTCCCTCTCTTTAAAACAAAAACAAAAACATTTCATTTTCTTTCCTGATCCACAGAAGCAGCCCGTAGGGGCTGGCTCTCCTTTCTGCTAAATGCTGCCAGTGGGGCCTGCAACAGAAGCTGGGCCATGGGAGCACCTGCAGACCTCTGTTTTACAAACATAGCAAGCTGGGCAGGCCCCCAGCCATGAGGTCCAGCTGCGCTGACTGATAGGCTAATGTCCCATATCATGTCCTTCCCTTTCACGTCTCCGGCTCAGGGCTTCCAATCTGACCAGATGCATTGAGAACTAAAAACTCCAGGGGGCTGTTCCAAGCCAGTCTGAACAAATAGTGACATTTATTTTACACCACAGAATCTTTGTGCTAGAAGACTCTGTGAAATGTGAGTGGTCAACCTGGCTGTCGCCTTTGCTGCCAAAAAGTAAGGAACAGGTTAGGGACCAGCTATCCCTTTGTAGAGAATTGTTACAGTCCAAGTGGAAATGCCTTTGCTTCTTACCCGGGCACACTCCACTTTGGCACACTCTCCAGTCTGGCAGGTCACTTGGCCATGGTCACACATGCAGAACTCGCAGGCAGAGCCCTTCCACATTTCATCCTGGTACCGCACAATCCCATTGTGTGAGCAGCTTCCCGCAGGAGACACACATTCCTCACAGCATTCCCCGTGGCGCTGAGCCCTTCTCTGACCCTGAAGAAACAAAGATGGCAGATAAAGGGCAATGTTCTCCACCCGACCTAAACCAGCTGAGGCAAGTTCCTCTCTGCCTCAGCCCTCCTTTCTAGGAAGCAGATCTTTTATATCTTTATCTAATATTTCTAGGCATAATAAAACTTTCGATTCCCTCAAAAGACACACTGGACTAAGAAATGCATTTCTTAAATGCCCCAGAATAAATTTTTATAAATCAAGCTACACTCCATCAAATACCTTGTCACATCTTAGTGGGGGGCAGGCCTGTTTGTGGCACCTGACCTCACCCTGGTCACATATACATGTGGTACAGGCGTTTTCGTTCCACTGGTCACCATGCTGAGGAAAGAAAGAACAAAGTGGAAAATCAAATGTCACATATATCAAATAGAAACACAGGAACATAAGACACACAATTTTTGTT